AAAAAAAAAAAAAAGAGAGACTGACTGCAGCGGAGCCACCATCTCTGCGGCTGCTATGCCATACTCCCATCCTACCAGCTAGCCCCCTCACTGGTAGGACTGTTTGTTACATTATATATACCAAGAAAAGAAGTAACCGCAGCCTCTGCAGTCCCTAAAAGGAAGGGGCTGTCAAATCTGACTAGATAACCAAGCTACACCTACCCCGGAGACTAGATCCCTGTCAAACATCCACTCCTCCATAGTACTGAAGCTCAACCTTAGCCAAATCTGAAGGTGGGAAATTGGGAATGGATCAGGAAAGGAAACCAATGATCAGGAAATTGGGAACAGGGACTCTGAGCCCAGTTCCAGGTTGAAGTGAAAACCAATCTTGGGACTGAAGATGGAAGACCATTTTCAAAGGTTCTCGCTGCTCTCCATAGCCACTGCCATTTGTTGTGTTCTTTCTCCTGCTCGACCTTGAAAGTGTATAGCTGATCATGAAGAGGTATTTTGCATTTGCCGATTTTGTGTGCATTTTTTGGTCGCAGGTTTCTTCCAAAATCTTGGGTGCGTATCAAGAAGACTGTTTCCAGCCCGAAGTATGGTTGGCCCTCAAGCGACAAGATTGCGCCAATGCACGAATGCCTTGGAATTTTGAGGAAGGTGGACACAGAGGATGTTGTCCTAGTACGGTATTGCTTCTCAGACGAGCCGATGATATTCAGGATGGAGGAGTTGGAAGTGACGCCGGCTTTTCGCGAAGGCGACACGGTCCGAGTGAAAGGCTCTGTTCAGCGGCCTCGGTTTGGATGGGGTGATGTCACACGAAATGTGATCGGCACTGTCGCCGCCATCGACACTGAGAAAGCGACAATCAAGGTTGATTTTCCAGGCTACTCGTCCGGGTGGGTTGCGGATCCGTCGCAGATGGAGCGGCTCTCAAGACCCTTCCGTAAGGGCGACTGGGCAAAGCTCAAGCCATCGGTGCTGAGATCCAGGAGGGGTGATAGTGGTTTGCAGGATATAAATGAATCCAGCTTGGCGATTGTGAAAGATGTATTGGACGGTGGAAAAGTCAAGCTGGACTTCTGCTTCAAGAATACGTATATGGTCATGGACCAGTGTAATGCTGAGTTGTTGGACACCCCTCCGTTCGTTCTGAACGATCAGGTATCGGTGAAGCGGTCGGTGACATCGCCTCGGTACGAGTGGGGCGGAGAAGACTATGAGAGCGTTGGGCCAGTTGCGGAGATCCGTGCTGACGGTCTTATCAAGGTGCAGTTCTATGACAGAGGTTTGCTGTGGGCTGCTGACCCTGCAGAGCTCTTTGTGGTTCACCCAGCACGGGCTTTCCGGAAGGGCGACTGGACGCAGGTGAAGAGGTCGGTGTCAGAGCCGAAGTACAAGTGGGGTGATGTTAAGCCGGAGAGTTTCGGAGTCGTTGCGGATATTGACGAAGACGGAGATCTAAGGGTAGACTTTTGTTTCAGACCGAAGCTGTGGGTTGCCGTGCCTAGTGACATGGTTCTCTATAATCCGCCGCCGTTCAAACTGGGGGATATGGTGAGGGTGAAGCCGTCTGTGCAAGCGCCAAGATGCAATTGGGCAGGGGAGACGCACAAGAGTGTCGGATTGATTGCGGACATTCGCCAGGATGGCCTGTTAGAGATACGATTCTCCAGCCGGCCCAGTCTGTGGAAAGCCGATCCGGCGGACATGATCCTGGCAAGAGGGCAGACACAAACTCAGGGTGCGCGAGATTCCGACAGCGATGCATCTGTTGCAGCTGAACTTCTGATGCAGTTGCTGGGGAAGGACAGGATAGCGGACATGTTCAAAGGCCTCCGCGTTAAAGGGAATGAGTGATGTGGCCATCTATCGATCTATCGTGGGAGTGGGAGTGTGTGGAAGCCCGATCCTGCCAACATGATCCTGGCAAGAGGGCAGACACGAACTCAGGGTGTGCGCGATTCCGGCAGCGATGCACCCAATGGCATCCGGCACAGCTGAACGTCTGTTGCATTTCCTAGGGAAGGAAAGGCTTGTGGACGTTCAAAGCCCTCCCACACTAAAGGGAACGAGTGATGAGCCCAACTAATGATCGATCGTGGGTGGCGAGGTGGGGGTGGGTGAGGGAGGAGAGGGGGGGGGGGCGGGCGCCGCGCCACGCCGCGCTGAATCGCAGCAAATGGTGACCATAAAACCTCAAGAAGGCATACCACAAAGCAGCAATTGATTCAGTATTGCCAGTGTAACTCCAGCAACAAGCATCAGTGCAGGTCCAGGTGCAGGCTCAGAACCAGGTTTACCTGGAGGTCGATGCAGGTGTAGGTTCGGGACCTGGTTCACCTGCAGGTCGTTGAAGTCGTAGTTTTGGGTTTAGGGTTTAGGGTTTAGGAGGTAGTGCAGGTGCCGGCAAAGGTTCGTCTATAATAAGTATTATTGGAGTGCTTGGGATTTATTGTGCACGCTCAAGATGGGTGGTCACTCTCACTCTCACTCTCAGTCTCAGTCTCAGTCTCATGGCGACATGAGAGTTCGATCACTCCGGACAACGAAACAATAAACAAAACACAAAACAACTGAGTCGCATCATCATCAAAGATGTCATCAGGCAATCGGGAGGTTGCGGCAAAACAACCCGAAGGCAGTAAGTTAAACTTAAAGGAGCAATCAATAAGCTCAATTACCTGCAAGCCGTCTGAAGCTTATTGAGGTCCACTTGCAGGTTCATCTCAGTTCGTGGTCGCAATCATGAGGAAGGAAGGAGTATTTGGTCCATTAGCTATTTTCTGCTTCTTTTTTTTATCAATTTGCGCATTCTTTGCATGTATGTGACCTAAGGAAAGCTTTCCCAACTGCCTCCTCAATCACTCACCTTCATCTCTCTCTCTCTCTGTCTCCTGTCTCTTATACACATCTAGATGTGTATAAGAGACAGGCTATGGTGGGCCCTTTGAGTGGCTGGCAGTAATGGGAGGATTCTTGGCTCTAGTTCGTTCTTTCACTGTTGTTATTATTATTATTATTATTATTACTATATCACTATTGTTATTATTATTAAGAAAAGTTGGGGGAGCAATTGGAGGTTGAAGATGGTGATGAGATGAAGGGGGATTGACATTGGTCTTTGCTAGTGTTCTTCTTCTTCTTCCATTCTTTTTTCTTCTTCTTCCTTTGTCTATTTCTCTTTCCAAGTTCTTTTGTTACGAACTTGGTTGTCTGACGAATTTTCTCGCCACTCACACACAGACAGTCTCATACATGCCCATACATGCACAAGAGATGGGGAGAGAGTAGACAGAGTCCACACTGCACACAGGTAAAGATAAACAGCGGAAGACAATCATGCACAGTAGGGGAGAAGACACACAGTGTTTCTCACTCTCTGACACAACTCCCAACAACCAATCACAAGGAAGAACCTGCGAAGATCACAATTGAAACTGTCACTGATGATGAGCCACTCACACAAT